CTAGCAAACTAACTCAGTTCCCCCTAGAACTCTGCTCTCATGGCCTGAGCAGCAGGGCTGGGCTCCTTTCAGCTGCTTTGTGTCTATGATCACCACCTCCTGGGGAGGGCCCTCCTGACAAGTGCTTCCCTGCCCTAAAGCATCCATTCTCCTCCCAGGAGCTTGTCACAAGTCCCTAGGCAGCATAGTCTCTCCTATAACCTAAGACCCCTTTCTCCCCATGCCTGCTCCTTCTGGGATCTTGATGGGGAGCAATGCACACAGTTCCAGAGTCTTGTCCTCTCCCAAAAGTACTTTCTGTAGTTTCCTGTGTGAATTATGACCACACATATAAACATTTGAAGTCACTACCTTGTAGAGCCGTGTGCACAATCTCTCCCTCCAATAACTAAGTCTAACTGTGATGAAAGTATAAATGAGATATCACATGTGCTAAGAGCTGCAAAAAGGAACATACAGGGTCCTGAGAGAACATTCAGGAAAACCATCTCACTTAGTCTACATCATGGATGACCTCCCTGAGGAAGGGACTTTTATACAGAATGAAGAAGGATAACTGGGTGTTAACCTAGCAAGTTTCAGTATCCCTTGGAGTAATGCTGAAGGGCAAAGAGCCAAGATAAGCCATGGGGTGGAGAAAGGGATTTATGAGGAGGTGCCAGGCATCCTTGATAGTAGGACCCCTGGCTCCTTCAGGGCTCCAAGGCTGCAGGTTGCACACAAAGCCTGACTCCTTGCGGGATGGAGGAGCTCCCCTTCCCATGATTTCTTTCCTCAGGTAACAGCCAAGTCAGACCAGGGTTACCTGGTAATGCGAAGAGAGGACAGATTTGAAAAGCTGCACAGAGAGGCTCCCTCCCAGGTTGAGATGGACAACAGTAGCTAAAAGCAGGACCTGAAGCCGACCCCCCAGCACTATTCCAATCTGTACTCGGAGCCATCTGCACATTGTCTATTCCTGCCTTTCCTGAGCAGATCAAGTGGTGTCTGAGCACACAGACAACAGGCAGGGAGAGAACCTTTGTCTCCAAGTGGCATCCATTAGCTGATGCTCCCAAGGATGCACTTTGTCAAGTGGTAGGACAGAAGAGGGATGTCATTTCTTCATCCTTGAAGCTGGAAGGTGTCACATGCCAGCTGACAACAGAATGTGGGTAAGAGGGACGTAAGGCCAGCCCAGGATGGTTTGTTATCACTTTCTCATCATGAAGAAACAAAGGGAAACAGCCCCTCTCTTCCCCCTTGCATAAATGCAGAAAAAATAATCAGCCTCAAGGCTGGACTGGAGCTGAAGAATGCTCAGAGAGACACGTTGCCAGAGTTGAAGTCTGGGTCCTGTGAGGTTTGATTCGTGACACCACCTTGATGCATGTGGTGTTGTGCCAAGAGCTGTTGACACCCAGAGACACAAGTATAAACTCCAGTGTTGTTACTGCTTCAGCATAGGAGATGGTGACCATCTTTCCAGGGGCCCCAGAGAACTAGGAAGGCTGAGTCATGGCAGACTGGGCCCTCAACTCGAACTGGAGGGAGAAATGTGGACAGAGGTGAGTGCAGGGCCAAGACCCTAGGGACCCTTGGTGGGAGGGAGAGCAGATCAAACTGTGCCTTCCTGTGGTGACTCTAACCTGAGCTGTGAGTAGCAGGTAAGCAGGAGTGAATCCACTCAAAATGTGGTCCTTGGAAGACCAGCAGCACAGGCTCCCCTGGGGAGCTGTCAGACATACAGATTCCTGGGCCCCACCCTGACCTGCTACAGCTGCATCTGCACCTTTTGGAGACCCCCAGGGGACTGTGTGCTCACTGAAATCTCAGAAGATCTGGTCTAGGTCACCATGGAAACTCTCACTGATATCTACCCTGATTTCAGTTTCCCCACATTAAACCCAGCATATATGAGGTTAAAAGCAAAACACCCATTCCTTGCTTACTCTCTGGCTTCCTGGCTCCAGAAGCCACTATCCTCCATGGAGACAGACACCGTCAAGGACAAGCACCTGAACTATCTCCTCCAGCAAAGAGATACGGGCTGGTGGGAAAGCTGCTGACCAGCAAGGTCATGAGCTCCCTCCTGTCTGCAAGTAGCCTCAAGGCCAAAGACAGGCTGGTGGGAAAGCTCCGAGCAGCAAGGCCATATGCTCCCCCTCCCCTACCTAAAACCCCAAATAAAAACCCTTCCTTTTAGCTTTTCGGGGAGTTTGGGATTTCAGCGTTAGCTGCCCTCTCTCCTTGCTCAGCACTGTGCAAAAATAAAATTCCTACTTTCTTCCACCACACCCGGTGTTGGAGATTGGCTTGCTGAGCAAGGGTGAGTGAACTCACTTCAGGTTCGGTAACATCACTTCCTCCTGCTTGTCTCCCAAGTCCTTCCTGGGCCACATGGGTCTTGGGGCTTAACTCTCTCACCCTCATCAACTCAGCTTGATTCAGATCTAGACTCTGCAATGATTTGGAGAAATGTTTAAAAATAGACTTTTTCACAAGTATATGTGTGGTATAAGGGGCTGATGTCCCAATGGGATGTCCAGACAGAAATAGGTGGTTCCTACTCTTTCCTTGATCTCACTCGGTCCCAGTCGATCTGGATTTTCGTACTTTCTCCACATGTCATGCTCACTTCTGTCTTCTGGTTTCTATATGTTTTTCTCACTGATTGAAACCATTCCCATGACCCTATTCTTCACCAATGCCTGAATCCTAGTCACTTCACGTTCTGTGTCCATATTACATGGTCTCTGAACACATGAACTTTAAGAAACACAGAATTACACACATTTCTCATTTATCATCATTATCCTCACATTGGGTGTGGGATATCCAGATTCTTTGCATGGAATAACCCACTTCCCATCTCTGCACCTCCAATCTTATCTGTCTGTTTCAGTAATAAGACTAGAAACAATGAGAAGCAATGTCTGTTGCATGAAAACATTTGACACTTGAGAAAATCATGACATTTGTCCTTCATTCTACTAACATGGCACATTCTATTAATTGATTTCTAGGTGTTAAAACAAACTTGCATTCCTGAGACAATACTATTTGGTCATGGTGTATATTCCTTTTTGTATGTTGCTGTATTGGGTTTTCAGTAATTTGCAGAGGACTGCTGTGTTTAAATCCATAAGTGTTATGGATTTATACCTTCCCTTCCTTGTGATCTATCAACTTGGTTTTGGTATCAGAGTAATTGTGGTCTAATAGTGGGAGATGGTAAGTGTTCCATCACTTCTTTTTTGTGGATGAGCTTGTGAATAATTGGTATTAGTTATTCTTTAAATATTTGATGGAATTCTCTAATGAAACCATCTTTGACAGGGTCTTCCTTGTGGGTAGGTTTTGATTACTAATTTAATTTATCTTCTTGTTGCAGACTTCATCGTGTTTTCTATTTTGTCTTCTGACAGTTTTAGTAATTTGTATCTTTCTAGGAATTCTTCCATTTCATTTAATCTTTTGGCACGCATTTTTTTGTACTTGTCCTCCACAACCCTCAAGTCCTGTTTTGTTTCTCTCATGTCAGTAGTAATGGCTCTTCTTTACCTCTCAGTTTTGGTAATTTGTCTTGTTTACTAATGATCAGCCTACCTAAAATTTGTCAATATCTTTAAGGAACCAACGTTTAGTTTTGTATATTTTCTTTAATTTGTTTCTGTTTCTATAGTTTATTTCTACATTATCTTTATCATTTACTTCCTTCTGCCTGCTTTTGTTTCAGTTTTCTCCTCTTTTACATTATATTAAGGTGGAATGTTACGTTATTGATTTGAGATCATTCATGTATTATATATGGTGCTTCTAAAGCAGTGCTTGGATATCAATGAGTACCTGTGTGTTTGTGTATATGTCACCACTAATGTGCAATCTTTCTTGTACCCTCATGAACACATAGAATACACTTATAATAATTGCTGTTGTATCCTTGCCTATAAATTATATCATTTGGTCAACTTCAGGGCCAATTTAGAATATTGAGTTTTGTACTTACTAGTGCTCTTATTTTCCTGATTCTTTGCAATAAATTTTTGACAGGATGCCAGGTATTCTGAATTTTACCTTGTTGGGTCCTGCCTACTTATATTTCCCTCTAATTTTTTTTTTTAATTTTTGGAGTCAGTAAACTTACTTGGACACAAGTCAATGGTTTCTAAACTTGTTTGTACACTTTCTTAGGTAGCAGCAAAGCAGCCTTTAGTTTGTGGCTGATTTCCCCATGACTGAGGCAAGTTCTCCTGACTAGTCAACCTGACGCCTTAACCAGGAGCTTTCCCCTCTGACAGGGGAACAAACACTACATGACTGTGAGTGTGAGCCCCGCAGTATGCTCCTCTAGTGTCTCTGGTTCTTTCCTCAACCTCATGAAGTTTCCTCCTACACATCACTTATCAGTCCTCTTAGGAACATGTACAGAACTCCAAAGGTCTCACCCTGTGCAGTTCTCTCTTCTTCCATACTCTTCACTCAAGACTTTTATTTTCTCTTTGGCTCCCTGGAAGCACACTGTGACATGTAGGATTGCATTCAGCAGGGATTTGAGGTGATCTCTCTGGAACAAAGCATGTAGACAAGGCTGGGGAGACATGCAAAGTGCTGGCAAATGAGGACTCAGCTGGGAGTCCCTGGAAAGTTATCCTGAACTGAGGCAGGACCTTGGGGTCTTTGCATCAGGCAAACATTGGACCAGAGAGGAACAAAAGCTTGGGGAAGGCAATTCTCTGCAGATAAAGGTATTTCCTAGTGAGGGCACAGCTCTGAACATCTAGGGCTCCCAGCAGTGTTGGGTGGGTTTGTGAGTACTGAAAAGGGGATCTAGGCAGACAGTACATTGTCCATTACCTTAGTTTTCTTCCTTCAGAGGCCCAGGCTGCCATGGGAGTCATGGACTTCAGAGGACCTACTGACCTTGGAATTTCTGGGCACTAACCCAGGAGAAGCGGAGCAATATATAGTCCAGTTACTACCATGAGGAAATACACACATAAGGACCAAGACAAATAAAGACCATATATTTTTCTCACTCTGTCTCTCCACCTAGGACCTCTGTCCCCAATTCACAGCCTTGGCCAGAAAACAGCAGAACAACCTGGTCCTACCAGTCCTGATCCATCCTCCACAGAGCCTGCCTGGAGGGCTGGGAGGAGAGGGCAGCCTGGGGATCTCAGAGCTGGTGACCTGGGCCAGACCTGCTCATGGTTTTGTCTACAGTCCTCCTGCAGCTAAAGGAGAGTGTGACACAGAAAGGGAAAGGGTTTTTGTCTCATTTCCCCATTAGCCTTTGACATCGTGAGCTTCATAACTATAATAATCTTTTCCTGAGTGACAGTAATAGTCAGCCTCGTCCTCGGCCTGGGCTCCGCAGATGGTCAGGGTGGCTGTGTTCCCTGATTGGGAGCTGGAGAATCTGTCAGGGATCCCTGAGGCCCGGTTGTTACTACCATAGATGACAAGCACAGGAGCCTGGCCTGGCTTCTGATGGTACCAGCTAGCATAACTGTTTCTTAAGCTGTCTCCCTGGCAGGTGATGGTGGCTGTCTGTCCCAAGGCCATAGACACTGCAGGTGGTTGTTTCAGCTCAGAAGAGGCCACAGAACCTGAAAAAGAGGAGAACAGAGGTGAGTGTGAGGATGAAGGTCTCATTCCCAGAGGGCATGCACCCTGAATCTTCCCCTCTGCAGAGCTGAAGGTCAGTGCCAGGCTGCTCCCTGGTTATTTTGGGGATCGTGCCCTGAGGGGCAGCACCTGTGCAGAGAGTGAGGAGAGGGAGCAGGAGAGGGGTTCAGGCCATGATGGAGATGCCCCAGAGCTCTGCCTCTGAGTCTACAGCTGGGGATGTGCCTCAGGGATTCTCTTATTCTCTAAAGAAATGCAAATCCACTTCCTCCCTTTGAGGCCTTCTTGCCTGTCTCCCTTCTGAGCAAAAAACGGCTCAGCTTTAAGGAACCTATGAAAGTGAGTCCTATTCTCAAGGCCTGTCCCTGAGCACTCAGAGCTCCCTCTGATGTTGAGTGAGAAAGTGCTGACCCCTGCCCCCAGCACATGCACACACACCTCAGTCTGTGACCTGGGCTTCCTCTCTGGGCTTGGGGAGAAGCCCTCAGTCAAGCTCTAGAGATGGGTCATCCAGGGGGGTGGGCTTGGCAATGATGAAGCAAGAGCTTGTAGGGACAGTGGTCATGCTGTTGTATGAGAGGCCAGAATTCATGATCAGATACAGAGAAATTGCTCATGTACCTCTCAGGAAAGCTTCTTCTATGTTTTAGAAAAAAATAGGAGACATTTTAGGATCTAAGGCTAGTTAAGAATTCCTTGATGATGCCAGAAGCCTGAGTCATAAAAGGAAGATTAATACACTGAACTTCATCAACATTAATATCTTTTGCTTTGTGAAACTTTCTAAAAAGGATGAAAAAAACAAGTAGTAGAGAAAAATATTTGCAAACCACATATCCAATGAACAACTAATGTCTAGAGTTTATCAAAACTCTCAAAACTAAGCAGTAAAAATAACATTGATGCAGAAAATGGGCAATGAACAAGAACAAACATTTCAGCAAGGGGTGGAGAGACGGCAAAGAGCACATGAAACATGTTCCCCACCACAACTAGAAGGACCACAACTAAAATATACAACTATATACTGGGGGGATGTGGGGAGAAAAATCAGAAAAACAAAACAAACAAACAAACAAAACATGTTCCTCATTAGCCATGAGGGAAATGCACATGAAAACCACAAGGAGATATCCCCTACTTCCCTATCAGAACGGCTGCAATAAAAATATTGACAATTCTACATGCTGCAAGAATGTGAAGAAACTGGACCACTCACGCTGGCTGCTGAGAATGTGAAATGATACAGCAAGTCTGGAAAAGAGATGGCAGCTTCTTTCAAAACTAAAATTGTGGTTACCATACAAGCCAGCAATTATACTCTTGGCCATTTATTTCAGAAAAACGAAAACTTATGTTCACAGAGAAACTATACACAGATGTTCATACAACTTTTTGCGTAGTAGCCCCAAAGCAAGAACAATGCAGATCTCCTTCGAAGAGTGGATGGATAAATAGGCTTTATTATACTGGGTCCACAGAATACTACTGAGCAACCAAAAGGAAGAAACTCTTAATGCACACAACGATGCTATGAATGTACAGCCGATAATGCAGAGTGAAAAACGCCAAATCCAAAAGGCTACATACTACAGTATTCTATTTTTTATTTCTCTATATAATTTCTGAAAAGACAAAATTTTAGAAATGGAGAGTCAATTAGTGGATGCCAGGGGTTAGGGACAGTGAAGGGCACATCAGAGATGAGATGGATGTTGTCATAAAAGGTCATCACAAGGGATCCCTGTGGAGATGCAGTTGTTTTGTGTCTTGACTGTGGTGGTGGACATACAGACCTACTCATGGGATAAAATCACATCCATCTAAAGACACACACCCAAGTGAGTATGAGTCACCCGGGAAATCTGAATTTGAAAAAGGAAAAGACTTTGATCAAACTTGTCACCAAACAAAATACATAGATGACAAATAAGCACCTGAAAAGATGCTCAACATCACACATCACTCAGAAAATGAAAATTAAAAATGTAATGAGATATCACTACAGCTATATTAACATGGCTTTAAAACCCTGACAGTCTAGTGTTAATGAGGATGTGGAACAACTGGAAGTCTCATAAATGCCTGATATTAATGAAAATGCAAAATCAGGCATCCACGTTGTAAAACAGTTTGGTAGTTTCTGAGAAAGTTCAGCATATGTCTACCATACGATCCAGAAATTCCATTCCCAGGGATCTACTCAAGCATCATGAAGACTTACGTCCACACAAAAACCTATAACAAATGTTATAAATGTTTTATTTGAAATTACCAAAGAGTGAAAGCTAGAAACAACCAAAATTTTGCTTCTCTGGGGATGGATAAACAAACTGTGGTTCACCCATGCAAACTAATTCTACCCACAATGAAAACAGAATCAACTACTAACAGACAACAACATAGACGCATCTCAAATGCATTGTGCCAAGTGAAAGAAGCCAGAACCAAAAGGCTACCAGGTATGATCCCATCTTTATGATGTTTTTTCAAAGACTCAACTATCAGGACAGAAAAAACATCATGAGTTGTGGAGTGGAGGGTGGAGGGAGGGTGTGAATACCAAGGGGTCTTGGGAATTTATGGACAACAATTGAACGTTAAACGTCATGATTGTGGAAGTGCTTACACATCTGTACACATTTATGAAAACTTACAAAACTGTTCACTAAAAAGGGTGAATTTTAGTGTATGTAAATTATAAATCAATAAAAGAAAAAATTAATTGTGTCAGGGGAACTTTCCCAGGAGTCAACTCTCACTGAGAGATTAGTGTGCAGGAGTCTAGGTGAACCAGAGAGCACACCCCAGGACAGTAAGGCACGAAGGGAACAGACATGGGCAGAGATGGATGTTGATCTATAAACTGGTCATAGCCAGACCTACAGTAGAACCTACAGGACTCTGGTGCCTGGCATGCTTGTCAGATGCAACTAAACAGGGTGGGGACCCTGCCTCTATCCCACCACACGCACAGGTCACTAGATAAAAGCTGCCACCAGGAAGGGATGTGTCCCCATTCTGCCAGCTCTTTTCAGTAGAATCAAGCCCTGGAGCTATGGCTTCTGACACCACAGCTTCTGGGAAATGACTTCGTCCTGAGGGGAAGGACCAGGATTCAGATTATCACAGCACTCTTAGGAGCATTACAGACACAAACTATAGGTTTTGCTATTATGACCGTTAAGGAATGAAGACCTACTCACACACACACAAAATGGACAGAAAATGAAAATGAGAAAAGATATAAAAGGAACAGCATAGGATAAAGCAATGTTGAAAGAATTAAATAGGAGTTGACTAATGAGAGAAATTCAGAGACACAGATAGAAACAGACAGAGACATTGACTGAGAGATGCAAGAGGAGCCAGAGGGGAAGGACCCCTCCTCCAGCACACTCTCACTCTGGCCCACCTACCTGGCCTCCCCTGTCACACTCACAGCCACATCAGCTCCACCACATGTCCACATGCAGGTCCTATGACCTGTTTCAGCTGCTCCCTGGACTGACTTGTAAATAGCTCCTCAGACTTTAGAGATTCTACAACTGTGACAATGAAACTACTTGGTGTGCATCCTTAAGACTCTACTAAGGCCACAGCAACAAGTGCTTTTGACATAAAGTGTTACTCCTGGTCTCAGGATCACCTGGCATCTGTGATGCCAAGTGCAATTGTGTGAACAACCTGGGAAGGGATACTAGTCCATCATACCGTTCATTGTCACTTTCACATGACAAGTGCTGTCAGTGTCCTCTGATGAGACCCTGACACTATCATAACCTTGATCCTAAGAAATGGCCTCTAACGGGCCCTTTGTCCTTCTCTGACAAGGCTTTGTAGTGGCAGATTCCTCACTGCTTGGTCACCACATCAATGCAACAGGGGATGGTCTTTATCTACCTTTCTTTTCTATTATGTGTCACCATGTCCAGCACCCTTTCCCTCTGTCTGTCCATAAGAGCCTACTGATGACCTTTGTCCAAGTTGTTAGCACAAGGCCCAGGTAGACATGGATGTGGTATGGTCTACACTGGGGTTTGGATTTATTTCCCTACAGTCCTCCTGATTCCCTTTCCTACAGTGTAAGCAGTGGAGGAAATCCCCACTGGAGGAACCCATGAGAGGCCTTGTTGGGGACAAAGTCAGTGCAAGCCTTTGTAGAGATAAACTCTTTACCAGAGTGGTGAGGATGAGAGATGGCCCTGAATTCTGGTCATTCGGCCAAGAAGAGACTAAGACATGTCACTGGAGGCCTGAGCACTGTTGTCTATCACTCTTCCTTCTCCAGCACCCCTTGTCCACTCCCTCCCCGGAAGACCAGCTATCTCTTACCTTCCTGCCTGCTTGGGAGTCATCCAGGCCGCAGGCAGCTTGTGGACCTTCCATCTCAGAGCTCAGACATGGGGGATGACCCGCCTGATTTTCTGGGGCTCAGCTCCAATATCCCACCCGATCTTGCTCAGGTCAGTGCCCAAGGACCAGGTTTACTTTGTCAATATAGTTGCTCCATGTTGACACAGGTGTGAGTGTGTGTGAAAGATGCACATCTTCAGATTATGGAGAAACTATGGAGAAAATCAAGACATGCAGGAAACCTGTTCTCCCCCAGTGCATTTGAGGTGGATCACCCACTGGACTGAGACTCATGGGAGTCAATACATGTTCTACCTCAGTGTCGCCCATTCCCCATGCTCTGCTGCTTTCCGAGTGCATGTAGTCCTGCTCTGTCCCTGGAAAAGTCCTGTGGGAAGGATGAGGAGCCATTCTTGGCACCACATGCTGAGAATCTACCACAACTGGAGAAGCTCAAGTCACACTCCATGTTGGTCCATCCACAGACCTCCTAACATGCGTCTGCTTCCCTACTGGACCCCAGCTCAGCAACCGCCGTGGAGTTCAGGTCTCTCTGTCCTGCATCTACAGAGGTCCAAATAATTCCTGTTGAACCCTCAACCCTGACAGAAGTCCTGCCCTACACCGCGGTGCATTGGGAGTCCAGACTTTAGCTGCAGATGACTTCCATGGTAACAGCTGGAAAACTGAGCTTTCTGTCACTTCCCTGAGCAGAGGCAGGTGACAGTGCACTGAGCCTGATGGTTCTTTGTGACACAGTCATCTCAGCCAAGCCTCTCTCTCAGAGTCATTTTCCTGCCTGGGTTGCTCTGTCTTTAA